CCCAGAGGGCTGGGGCGGGGCAGGGAGGCCACTGGGGAGTCTACCTGCTCACCCTCTGTCTCTGCTCCAGGACATCAGCCTGGCAGCCATGCGAGTGAGTGAATCGAAGAGTGCGGGCCCAATACTGCGTGTCCTTGTGCAAAAAAAAAAAAAAGAGAGAGGGAAAAAAAGTTCCAACCTCAACCTACACAAAAACCAATTTCAAGTGGATTAAAAGCCAACAGCTTCATGACATTATAAGGCTTCCTTAAACAAGATGCAAAAAAACTTTAATCAAAAAGCAAAAGGCTGAGACATCCAACAAAATTAAGAACTTCTGTTCGTCAAAGAACCATTTAAACAGAAGCAGGCGACCACGGGAGGTGTATCTGCCACACGCAAAACTGGCAGACGCGCGAGGAGCTCCCGCAGTCAGTGAGGAAAAGGCAGACGCCTTGATAGGAAGTGGGCACAGACCGCCAGGGAGGAGACCCAGGGGCAGTGACCCCGGGAGGTGCGATAAGGCCCCCGCCGCGCTCCCCACTCTGGCGGGATGGTGGCGGGGAGAAGCCTTGAAGGGCGGGGCAGAGGCAGGGAAGGAGGCACGGTCCATGCGGGGGGCCCTGCGGGAGGAGCGCCGTGGAGAGCGTGGTCTCCTCTTCCACAGCTGGGCACACACGCGTGCCCCCGCCCGGTGGAATGCCCCGCACCCTCGCTGTTCCGCTCGGGGCACGCACCCGGAAACGCAGCGCACGTCCCCCGACGCCTGCGCGGGGCTGCGGCTGTCCCGACGGTGGTCCGGGCTGGAAACCGCCCAGCCACCCGTCAGTGCATAAACAGACTGCAGGAAAATCACTCGGGAACGCCCTTCGCCCAGACAGCCGGCAAGGGACAGCTCCACGGACCACAGTGGCGACTGTCACAAAAGGATATTCCTGGTGAAAAAAGCCAACCCCCAAAGCGCAGGCTGATTTAGGACAATGGGATCCTAAATTAGGCAAAAAGAAACCGTCTCGGTTTGGGCTGCTCTCTTGGTGGCAGAAGCATGCGGCAAGGAACTGCGCGATCACAAAGTCAGGCTCCTGGCGACCTCTGGGGAGTGGGACAGGGCGGTGTTTGGGGAAAGGTCTTGGGGGACATCTGGGGGGCTGGCAGTGTAGAACTTGTTGAGCTGAGTGCTGGCCACCAGGTGGTCGTTCTAAACTTAATCGCTAAACTGTGCAGATACTTACTAACTTCTCCGCATGCCTACGACAGGTCACAACTTTGAAAACCTGTATTTTGGGGGGAAGGCGTAGACTCCTAACAGGAACAGCCCCAGGTGCCACGAGAAGCGCCGGCCCACTCCCCTATTTGACGGGGGAGGGGAGGGAACCGGAGCTCAGACAGAGAAAGCCGCTTGCCCAGAGGTGCGCGGCGGGACGCGAGGCAGACTCGACCCTGCGCCCACCTGTGCGGGTGGGGGCGGATTAATCCGAGGGATTAGAGGCACCGCCAGCTCGCAGCACACAGCCAGCCAGCCGGGACGCAGTAATACCCACCAACGTTTGAGCGCCACACAATAGTTTTTCAAGCAGTCAGTGGCAGGATAGCTGGGTACGGAGGAGGGAGGTCAAGGGACGAGGGGACCAGGCCATTACTTGGTGTGGCTGCATGCCTACTATGTGCCACCTGGGCCCGGGGGAGTCCTACTGTGTCCCAGCCCCTGCCACACACTGGGGCTGCAGAAATCCGGGGTTCAGACCCAAGCTTTGCTCTCCAGGGTGCCCATCTGGGGCACCGGGGAGGACAGAGGACACTCCAAGTGACAGTGAGAGCCCCCGACCTCCAGTCCCCACCCCTCACCTGCATCCCTGAACACATCCTGCTTCCTCAAACCCCCAGGCCTTTGGACCGCTTGGAAGGTGGCTTATTTGTCCTTGCGAATTCATATTCCTCCTTCAAGCCTCGGCTCAAGAGTCCCTGCTTCCAGGAAGCTCTCCCCAGGTGCAGCAACACCCCAGGCCAGTGTCCCCAACTCGAGACCTCAGAGCACTTGGGGCAGCCCCCACCGTCCCATCCTGCTGGCCTGGGAGGGCTGCTGTGGGCCTGTGCCCAACGCCCTAGAGGGCTGGCCTGGGGCTTGCTGTGCCTGGATGCCCAGCACAGGGCTTGGTGCAGGGAGGGCAGCCGAGTCCACTTGGGAGGGAGGGGCAAGAAGGTCACAAAAGCCACAGGGAAAAGGTGACAGGGAGGAAAAGAGTTTCTCATGTGGATAAGAGGTGGGGGAAGGTCGTCCTAGGCAGAGGGCACATCCTGGGCAAAGGTAGAGAGGCATGAGGGTGACAGCTTTGGGGACTTGGAAGTAGGACCACAGTGTGGGGCGGGAGTCTGGCAGATGGGCCAGGGCAGGGGGACCCCCCAGCAGTATACATGAACACAAAAGGGAGCCACCAAGGGCCCAATACCACTGGGTGAGAGTCCTTTTGCTCATGCAATGAGTAGTTACCGGACGGTCCCTAGAGCATGGGGCTGGACCTGCCCTCCCACAGCTCAGGCCAGACCCCAGGCCCAGCCTGCGATTCACAAAGAGCCCTTTCGAGGGGCCAGCAGGCAGGACCTGGCCATGAGGTCATCCCTCTGGACACCCCAGGACCCTTTCACTTGGACTCTTGTGTGAGAAACTGGCAGCCATGCAGTCTCATGTCCCCCAGGGACCCTCTACTGGGTTTGTTTGGGGCCAGGTCCCAGGCAAGGTGCTTCACCTACAAGCGCTGAGCCATCCCCCAACATCCCTGCACCTGGGTGTGGTTAGGACCCCCACTCTGCAGATGGGGAAACTGAGGCCCAGAAAGGGTTAGGACTTTGCCAGAGACCGTGTCTGTGAGACCCCAAACCTTGTGACTTTCTGTGGGGAGCCATGATCGCCAACTTCTCTTACCCCCCCAGGCACTAAATGCAGGACAGAAGCCCACTGGGGCAGCCCCCAAACTGGCCAGGACAGAATGTTCCGGAAAGGGCTTGCGGCAGCTCTGAGAACACTAAGAGAGAGAGGGAGAGAAAGGCAGGACCCCCCAACTTCAGGAGGCAATGCCAAGTCCTGGCCCCACACGACCCCTGCCAGCTCCAGAAAGACCTTGTGGCCCAATGACCCAGAAGCCCAGGCCACGGCCACTGCCACCAGCCTTCCTGATTCAGCCCAGGGAAGCCCTCAGCTCACCAGGAAAAGCAATACCCGTCACCCTCAGCAGCCGGGCAGCTGATCTGCCCACCTGGCTCACCTGCTCACCTGTGCCCCCAACCAGACTGTGCCACATCTCTGTCCCCAGTGCCTGGCACACAAGGGTGGGTGCTTAAGAGTCTTGGCTGGGCAAGGGGAGGGAGGGAAGAGAAAGAGAACCATGTCAGGGACCCCTAGGTTTGGCTTCAGGGCACCCCATGAATGCTGCATTTTCCTCAAGTCTAAGCAGAGTTAAGCAGTGTCTCCTCCCCCACAGGGAGTCCAACCCATGTGGGGAAATGACAGCCAAGGTAAGGTGCTGGGGGGACCCTGGCGTGAGGTCAGAGCCTGGGTTTGGGTTTGAGGTCATCCATGTGACCACTGTCAGGGCTGCCACTCTCTGGGCATCACTGTCCCCACCTGGACCTTGGCCATGACAGGGTGGGCGGGGCTGACTGACATCAGGTTTTGGGTCTGAGGTCCTCCCATCGAAGAGACCGGACCCCTCCTCCCAGCGGTGGACATGTTGGTGCTGATGCTGAGGGACCCACAGGGAGGCTGCACTCCCGCTCAATGGCCCAGCAGATGGCTCTGCTCTCAGTGTCCAGTCTGGGCTCTATATGAGCCCATCTGTCCCCGGGCTCCCACCTAGGTGTTTCCACTAGGGTCAGCTAGTAAGGCCCGGGGCCCCTCTTCCCCTCGACCTGGGCCAAGCCTGGGATCTGCTGGATCTCTGCCCCTCGGGGGAATGGAGGAACGTGCCATCCACGGTCCTCCCCATGGACGCCAATTCTGGCCTCGAGGCGGGGGCGGGGGCAGGGGCGGGATGCAGCACCAGGCTGTGCCCAGTGGGGATGAGTAATAGCCTGTTTGCTGGTATTTAGGGTACACTGGCCCCAGATGTCGGCCTCCTACCCTGTACTATGGAATTTTGTCATGGAATCCTGTTCCTTT